ATCGTAGCCGGAGGTAATGGCAGAACCCTACCCCTCGGCTTCGCACGCTTCTGCTCGACACGGTAATCGACGCTGTAATCGACGCTGGTTCAACGCCCCTCAGAACCCCAAACCCTCCTTAACCCTAAACCCCCTTACCCCGAAACCCCAAACCCCAAACCAGAAACCCTAAACCCCCAAACCCTAAAATCCCAGACCCCGGGTGGGTTTGGGAGACCAGGCGAGACCTTGGCAGACGTTTGCTTCTGCAGTAGCGGCTTGGCCGCCAAATATGGGGCAACAGTGCAACTTCCTTGTTGTAGAGCAACTTAGGGTTCAGGCGTTCCGGGTTTAGGGTCTAGGGCTCAGGGCCGAGGGCTGGTTTCAGATTCGGGTGTAGGGGTTGAGGGTTGCAGAGGTTGAGGGTTGGGGGGTTGAGGGCTTAGGGCTCGGCTTGCCAGGCTTGACAGCGGTGTTTCGGGGCTTTCGGGCTTGGTGACCCCTTTCAGCTTCTCAAGATATGGACCCCATGACTATCGTGCGATCCCACCCTGAACCCGAGACCCTAAACCCATAAGGGGTCAGGGCAACCAAATCATCCTGGCTGATGGGGTCTGAGGCTTCAGGGTTTGAGGGTCCACAACCCCAAGCCCCTCTTAAACCTGTTCCCCATAGACCCCAAACCCTAAACCAAGCCGCAAACCCTAAACCTTAAACCCTAAACCCTAAACCCTAAACCCTAAACCCCAAACCCTACACCCCAAAACCCTAAAAGTTCCTCTTGAGCTCGGCAGTCGGTAGGGCTGGTCCCTGTAAGGCGAGCGAAGCGTGGTTTACGCCCACCTCTGCATCTTGAAGCACAATGCTGGGCACCCAGGGTTTAGGGTTTAGGGTTTAGGGTTTAGGGTTTAGGGTTTAGGGGGGGATTTTAGGGTTATAGATGTTTATAGATTGGGATGTTCCCCCTTGTACTAGCAGTCCTTGATCGGGAGTATAGAACCCCTGTGAGAATCTCTGTTAAGGGCTGCTAGTATAAGGGGGAACGTCCCAAGTTCTATGTAGAGGTTTAGGATTTGGGGTTTGGGGTTTAGGGGTTTGGAGCTTTCGGGCCTCGTATAGGAGTTTGGAGTACAGGGCCTAGTATAGGGGTTCAGGGTTTAGGGTTTTCCAGTTGTGGGTTTGCAGTTTGGGGTTTGGGCGTCGGGTTTTCTGTTTCAGGGCTGTCGGAGTTTGGGGCTTCGCCCTGCGATGCTAACTTCACTGTTCCCAAGCCCGAAAACCCTGCGCCCCGAAGATCAAGCCCATGCCCTTAGGATCAGAAATCAACATATCCCAACAGCCTGAGCAGGAAAACCTCGGGCCCTAAACCTGATACCCCCAAACCGGAGCCCTAACTTAGACTTTGACTGAAGGGCATTCTTTCACATGCTTCTGCCCGGGGGACCCTGGGCTCAGGCCCCCCAGTTGCACGCGCACATCCTTGCGCGTGCCTCTTCGAAGGCGGCTCAGGGTTTAGGGTTTAGGGTTTAGGGTTTAGGGTGTATGGTTCAGGGCTTAGGGCTTAGGGCTTAGGGGACGTATGCCAGTCCTCGAGCCTCCCACTTGGAAAAGTACTTTGACTTTGACCCTTCAACACTACCCCCCCCCCCCCCTCGTGAAACCCTCAAGCGTATCAAGTTGGGGCCCTTTTTGTAGGCAGCAGCCTACACTCTGCACCCTGCAAGGCCAGATCGTCATCGAAAATTAGGAAACTAGAGGTAACCAAGGCACCTAATCCCTGATAAAGATTTGTTGCAAGGTGCCCTGTATCCTCTATAACCTTATATCTCCCCTAATACCCAGGCTCCCAACTCAGAACCAGTAAGGAATGACTTTGTGTCGTCAGGGCCAAGGCTTTCAGCTGCGGTTGGGTTTAGGGTTTAGGGTTTAGGGTTTAGGGTTTAGGGTTTAGGGTTTAGGGTTTAGGGTTTAGGGTTTAGGGTTTAGGTTTTACGGTTTAGGACTGTTCAACATCCTTCACGCCTTAGTTGCCCAGGAGGCGGAGACTTTCACTGTGGAGGGCCGGCAGCTTCCCATGGCCGCTCGCTCGGCATTTCGGAGGGGGGGGGTTAGGGTTCAGGGTTGAGGGTTGAGGGTTCAGGGTTCAGGGTTTAGGGTTTGGGGTTTAGGGTTTAAGGTTTAGTAGGGTATGTAGAGCTTCGAGTTTAGGAGGAGGGCTGAGGGTTTAGGATTTAGGGGTTGGGGCTTCTGGACTCGAAGGCCTGAACCCCAAACCTGACAATCGGGAGGGGGTGGGAGGATTGAAGCACCAGCCCTAGCACCCGAAACTCTGAACTCTAAACCCTAAACCCCTAGACCCCTAAGCCCCCAAACCCTAGCCCTGAACCCTAGAGGTTTGGACTAGGAGGTCTGGGGCTACTGTGTTTGTAGGGGCATGTGCCCACAAGGCAGGCTTTCTCTGCTTGAAAAGGGAAGGTTTTGGAACATCGGGAAAGCCTGGCACCTTGCATTCATGTACTCTAGCTGTGCAGTCAGGGCTGCCGTATCTAAAATCCTAACCCTAAACCCTAAACCCTAAACCCTAAACCCTAAACCCTAAACCCTAAACCCTAAACCCTAAACCCTAAACCCTAAGCCCTTGAACGCTTGAGCCCGAGGTGTCGCTCACCAATGTGCCGGGCTAAGTGCTGCCGTAACACCACAAGAAGAGGCCCACAAGAAGAGGCCCTAAGTTGAGGCAAAGGTTGTCGGTAGCTGCTGTCGTTCTCTAGGAACTCTAAAGTTGAAGCAGCTTCGTGGGTTTTGGTTGTTGAATTGTTTCTAAAACCCTGAAGCCTTAAACCCTACGCCCCGAAAGCCGTAAGCCCTAAGACCATCATACCATGATACCAAAATACCATGTAGCCTAGTACCATAATACCAAAATACCATAATACCAGAATACCACCTATAATTTAATACATGAGACCCTTCTCGTAAAACAGGTATAGAAACTCCCCAAAATGCTGATTCTACTGAGACCGGCATCTGTAGCAGGCAGATCTAGGCAGAGTGGGCACCGATGCTGGGCCCGAAGCCTCTCCAGCAAAACCCTTAAAGTTCGAGCGCGTGGGCTGAGGGTTCAGGGTCTAGGGTGTTTTGACTGATCCAGGAAGGCTGTTGGCTGGATTATTGAAGGATCTTTTGACGTCTTTGTGTCACAATGGCGCGTCTTTCTTCAAGCCATCCAGATGAGCTCGAGGCTCCATTTGGCGGGTTCCTTTATTATGTGATGCCTGAGCCCTTGAAACCTTGTCAGAGCTGTAGATCTCCCGCGTTACAGCCGTTTACACCCTGATATTTGGGGCATTAGTAAGAACGGGGATCTCGAGTACTTTGGAACAGAATCATACAGGGGTTGTAGCGGAACTCTACGTGTACTATCTTGATGGATGTGAAAGCAGATGCTGTGAACTTCCCGAGGTAAGACTCGAGGTCCTTCTGGACTTTCTGCAGTACGTGTACACACTCGACATCGATGTGGCCAGCTCAGTCGAAGGGCCTGCGGACGACACCACGGCTGTGTGGGAAGCCCGAAGGAGCAGCAATAAACAACAAATAGTCATTCAATAGTGCTGTTGAGAGTATTTCCTTCGTAATCATCAAAAACCAACTAGGGTATATATGCACGTATATATGCATGTTCCAAATAAGTCGGGGAATAATTATCTATATATATATATATGCATAAATGTCTGTATCTATGTATAACTAGAAGCCCCAAGACTACACTGCAAGGCCGCGACCATGTCGCTCTCCTGCTTTGCTGCCGCCGCCCCAGAGTGCTCAGGGTTTGGGGGTCTTGGCTTGCAGGTCCCAGGGTGTTTTGTGAGTTTAAGACCCTAAAGCCTGAACCCTGAACCCTAAACCCTAAACCCCCTCCCCCCCACCCCCCAACATCCCCAAACAGGGTTTGCCGCGTTTTCAGGAGTTGCCGGGCTTAGGCAACCTGAAGGCTCGCGACCCCACCTGAAATCTCGAACTTGCCTGCACGTCCCAACTCTGAGCCCTGAGATTTAGGTCTGTTTCTTATGGGGGGGGGGGTTTAAGGGTGTCGTGTTTTTGGGGTTTAGGGTTGCAAGGAGGATCTTCCGATTTGTTCGTGAGGCCGTGTTGGAGCTGTACCACCTCGGCGAGAGGCAGCCTGGAGATACTACAGGGCTTTCGGGGTCTGGGGTTTGAAGGTGTGGATTTAGGAACATATTTAGGGGTTTAGGGGCCTAGGGGTCTAGGGGTCTAGGTTGGGATGTTCCCCCTTTCTACTCACAGTCCCTAATAGGGATTATAGTGCCCCTATTATCATCCCTACTAAGGACTGTCAGTACAAGGGGGAATGTCCCAAGGTCGAGGGTTTGAGGGTGTGGGTTTTGCGGGTTAGAGCTTTGTATCCTGATCAGGTCTTAGGGTCAGGATGCTTAGGCCTGTCTTAAGCTGGCTTTTGGGACACCAAGTTCCTGGCACATGTACCTTTTGTCCTAAACCCTAAACCCTAAACCCTAAACCCTAAACCCTAAACCCTAAACCCTTGAACTTAACCCTTGGCCTGAACCCCTTTGTCTGTCGCAGAGCTGCAGCTCAGTTCGAAGCCCACGCCCGTATGTGCCGCCATCGGCGTCGCGCCGCTCAATTCCAGCTCTGGAGGCCGAAAGCACCCGACTGGAACCAGGCACCCTACTTTACTTTTTGGGTATTTTATTAGGGAAGAGAACGGTAGAATACATATATATAGACATATATATATATATGTATGTATGTATGTATATATATATATATGTAACAAATATCTGCCGAACACCCGAGAGCCTAAAGGAC